GGGAGAGAGCCAAAGCATAAGAGACTCTTAAAAACTGAGAACAAACTGAGGGTTGATGGGGGGTGTGAGGGAGGAGAGGGTGGGTGATGGGTATTGAGGAGGGCACCTTTTGGGATGAGCACTGGGTGTTGTATGGAAACCAATTTGACAATAAATTTCATATATTAAAAAAAAATGAATGCACATATGTGAAAGAAATAATGTAAAAAAATAAAAATAAAAAAAAATAAAAATTATAGACATACAGATTCCAGAAAATGCGTTAATCAGGAACATCCTAATTCACCCCGCTCGATGTTTGTGAAGTGGGTGTGCTATACTGTGCTGAATGCGTCCGTGCCCTGGTGGTACTTTGGGCTGCTGTACGTCTGACCTAATGCGGGCAGGGGCTTTTGCAAGTCTGGGATGAGCCATCCCATCAAAGACTCAATTCTAAAGGCAAATTTCAATCCTAACAGCCTTTCTTAGGACCAGCTATTCTATTTCATGCGAATGATCCAAAGTAGTTTCAAAAGGAGTGGCTGGTACTTGGCAAAGAATTAGGATCTAGTTGAGAATTAAGTCAAACAAGCCTATAGGATAGATACTTGACTTGTAAAAGAGGTTTCATGAGGCCAAGTAACAAAGAGATCAAAGGGATGGAAATGCACCAATGCTAAAGAAAGTAAGAAAGAAGCTCACAAAATTGTACAAAGCAGTTGTTTAACAGGTGCAGATGTAGAAAGAACTGGAATTAAATCACATCTGTTCATATAACTAAGGGAACTGTGGCCAAATACCAACTGGAATTGGATATGGCTGCATTCATTCTACAAGGGATTCTGAATATTCAAATAGTCTCTGCAAATTTGCACCCTCCATCAATGCAGTGGTCTGTTAAAATTATACTGTTGACCCTTGAATAATGCAGAGGTTAGGGGTGCTGACCCCCTGTGCAGTTGAAAATCCATGTATAGCTTCTGATATATCTCCCAAACTTAACTACTAATAGCCTATTCTTGACCAGAAGCCTTACTGATAACATGAAGAGACAATTAAAACATATTTTATATATGTATTATATACTGTATTCCTATAATAAAGTAAGCTACAGGAAAGAAAATGTTATTAAGAAACTCAGAAGTAAGAGGAGCACCTAGGTGGCTTAGTTGGTTAAGCGCCCGACTTTGGCTCAGGTCACGATCTCACAGTTTGTGAGTTCAAGCCCCATGTCAGGCCCTGTGCTGACAGCTCAGAGCCTGGAGTCTGTTTCGGATTCTGCCCCTCCCCTACTCACTGTCTGTCTCTCTTTCAAAAATAAATAAACATTAAAAAAATTTTTTTAATCAGAAGGAAGAAAAAAATACAAGTTTTACTGCACTGTATTTATCAAAAATTATTCACATGTAAAAGGACACGTATAGTTCAAGCCTGTGTTGTTCAGGATCAACTGTAATTTTAAAGACAAGAGATAGGAAGACTGAAGTATTATGATATGTTAGGTGAAACAAGTTGAATACAAAATATATCTATGTTATGGTTAACACTTTATGAAATTACATATGTAAAAATTGGAGGCAACAAAACTACTCACGGGTAATTTTTTTTAAGTCACATTAACTTTACAGTGTTGTTAATCCAACCACTTAAAGTACTGTGTGATGTAGTTAGAGGAGTAAATAGAAGAAGCAAAAGTATGATAACTGTTCTGACCTTTCAAGGCAGACTAGCCAAAATTATGTGGTATTGAGGAAAGAAGAGTACCTGACAATAAAACAATAAGAAACAAAAGTCCATAATCCATCATATTAACTCTACAGAGATTTCTTAGGCCACAAGGGCTAAGAAAGTATTTCTGGAGAAGTCATAAGTAAAGTCAATATTAATGTGTGAAGCTGGAAATATAATTATACATTAGACATATATTTGGGATACCAGATATTTACCAGGTTTTCAAAAACGATTATTCATGGTTTGAAGTGCAAGAACACTTTTGGACAAATGTGATTTAGATAAGGATATTTCTCTTAGAACAAAGTGATGGCTGCCAGAGGGCGGGGGGGTTAGGGGCTGGGCAAAATGGGTGAAGAGGAATAGGAGATACATGCTTCCAGTTATAGAATGAGTAAGTCATGGGAATAAAAGGTACAGTCAATGGTATTGTGATAGTGTTGATGGTGACAGATGGTAGCTGCACTTGTGGTGAGCACAACATAATGTATAATCCTGTTGAACTATGTTGTTCACCTGAAATAATGTTAACATTGTGTGTCAGTTATACCCAAAAAAACACAAATTTTAAATTAAAAAAAATATTTCTCTTAGAAATTTGTGATTCATTTTTGGATGCACGCAAACATTCTTTCCCCAATCAGATTTTCCTTCCCTTTGAAAAAAAAAAAAAAAAAAAACAGGAATAACATCCAAAATAAGAGACTGGTATAGCAGTTTGGGTGAATGTAATGAGAGACTTATCCTCCACAGAGCAGTTGAAGTATTAACTAGTCCAAGTTTGTTTGTGAGTAGGTTCCTGGGAGATTCCTAAATCCTCTTATTCACAGTGGAAAACCCCAGTGCACCCTAACCTATTCAGGCATTGCTAGTGATGTGTACTACTAGTTGGGATCTTCAGGAGAAGAGATCAGAGATTTTAAAAATTCACCTACGTAATGAAGGAACTAAACATCATCCAATGTTATAGACTCCTGAAATTAACAATCACAGCGTCTTTGAAATGTAATTCACGTGCCATATAATTCACCCACTTAAAGTGTATAAATCAATGGCTTTTGTATATTCACAGATATGTGCAACCATCACCACAGTCAATTCTAGAACATTTTCATCATTTTGAAAAGAAACACCATGGCCTTTAGCTATCATGCTCTGTCCCACACCCCCAACCCTGAGCAATCACCATATTCCCATTTCTCCCTTTGCTTCTGTCAGTCTATTCTTCACATATTTGGGGGCTCTGCTGCTAGATGCCTTTATGTTTATAATTGTTGTATTTCCTTGATGGCTTGACTCTTTCATTATTTTAAAATGTCCCTCTTTGTCTCGAATAACAATTTTTGTTTTAAAGTCTGTTTTGTGTGATATTAGTACAGCTTTCTTTTGGTTACTGTTTGCATAGTGTATCTTTTTCTATCCTTTTAGTTTCAACTTATTCATATTTTGGGATTTAAAATGTGTCTCTTGTAGACAGCATATAGTTGGATTGTGTTTTGTGGGTTTAAAAAAATCCATTCTACCAATCTCTGCCTTTTAATTAAAGTGTTAAATATATTTATACTTGATATAATTACTGATAAAGTAGGATTCATGTCTTCCACTTTACTATTTGTTTTTTATATGTCTTTGTGCCTTTTTTATCCCTCTATTCCTCCATTATTGCCTCCCTTTATGTTAAATGGATACTTTCTTAATTTTTAATTTTTAATTAATGTCACTTCTTTTACTACATTTTTTAGTTAGTTTAGGGAATATTTTAGAGAATGGGCAATTACATCTTGAATTTGGAAAAATAATTCACAGAGTCACAGGTTAAGACAGTAGGACTTAGGGGTGCCTGGGGTGGCTCAGTCAGTTAAGCGTCCAACTTCGGCTCAGGTCGTGATCTTGTGGTCCGTGAGTTTGAGTCCTGCATCAGGCTCTGTGCTGACAGCTCAGAGCCTGGAGCTTGCTTCGAATTCTGTGTCTCCATCTCTCTCTGCCCCTCCACTGCTTGCACTCTCTCTCTCTCAAAAAATTAATTAATTAAAAAAAAAAAAAAGACAGTAGGTCTTAGGACACAGGAATGTCTAACAAACTCAAATTTGCCAGTCACTGTCCCTAGTATATAACCTTGCATGTGGAAGGTGCTCAATAAGTTTATTAAGTGAATATCCAAAATACACATTTATTCCTAATAGAGTAGCAGTGTGTGTGTGTGTGTGTGTGTGTGTGTGTGTGCAAATGCAGTATTATTAGGCTGTACTTAATTAGGGAGGGGCCAGATGAAATGGGGTTGGGCTTTCTTGTTCAACCTGTCTTGGCCAGTATTTTCCTTTCCCCTATATGAAGAGTAAAATTATGGTCCTTTAATATCCTATACTCTTTTACCCTGAGATAGGGTGATCATTTTGATCTTAAATGTTTATAAGAGCAAAGCTTTAAGGTTTTGTCTTCCCCATTTGGGATGGAGGCCCATCAATGATGCTGGATATTGTGGAAGGTACTCATGATTCTGAGTGATAACTCTTGAAGCCATGAAGTCAGAAAACCTTATTCAAATAGAGCTTTGAAGAGCTGATCTGCTGGAATTTACTGAGGACTCTCAAGGATCAGAAAATCTCTGAAAGGGAGACGAAGGTTGCATTCGCAAGTTTGCTCTTCCTGCTTCTCCAGATCACCCCCTCCAATGCTTGTCATGAGATGTGAATTGTTATTGAAGTGGGAGATGAACTGGAGTTCATGTGATATAAAAAGGTACTCCTGTCGTCCTCATTTTCTGGTGCATCTTCTTGAAGAGTCAATGTTATTCAAATATTTGGAAAGCAACAGTGATTTTTCTTATCTTTTGTCACAAACACAGGTGTGTTACAGAAGAAAACATAAATGACTTCTGAATGTTCTAGATACACCTTAAGACTTGAGTAAAGTTTCTGATTATGGCAGGCTGTCTCAGCCACGCCGCAGAACCCTTGAAACACATACATTCACTCTCCTTATTTGTGAGAGGTTGTATTAGTTTGCTAGGGCTGCCATAATAAAATACCACAGATGGAGTGGCTTAAACAACAGAAATTTATTTCCTCATAGCTCTATAGGCTGGAAGTCCAAGATCAACGTGTTAGCAGGGTTAGTTTCTTCTGAGGGACTCCCTTGTCAGGTTGTAGATGGCCATCTTCTATGTGTTTACATGGTCTCTTCCTCTCCGTGTGCTTGTTCTTATAAAGACACCAGTCACACTGTATTAGGACCCACCCATATGACCTCATCTTACCTTAATTACTTCTTTAAAAGTCCTATCTCCAAGTGCAGTCACATTCTTAAGTACTGGGTATTAGGATATCAATATATATGAATTCGGGAGGACATAATTCACCCCATAACAGGGATGCTTAGGTGGAAGAATTGAAAGAAGTGGTAATAACTTTTAAGCTGATCTTAAGAATCTGAATTTCCAGTAGCTATCTTGAGACCAATAAATTTTCTTAGGATCCTTCAGGCCATATGTGTCTGTGTCTCTTTTCTATGCTATCCTCAGACCCCAAGGGAGATCTTAGCTGTAGAGGGAAGGAGGGCCTGCAAGCAATAACCATAATAAGAGAGACTGCCGTGGTAATTAACAACCTGTTGCTGTGAAAATCCAGACGGGATCTGCAATGTGTTCTGAAGATAGGATCTTTCTAAGCACCAGGAGCAAAAGTTGTGGATCTGCCCAATGGGTTGGTCAGAGAGAACTTCTTTTTAAAACCTGAGGACAAACTCTGCTATTAATGACTTGCAATTATCACAAACAGCTGGAAAAGCCATCAAAGGACTTCTAGCAGAAAACCTGCACATTTCTAGCCGTGGCTGACTGATGCTATAAGTAGATTCTTTTACAATACCCAAAGGTATCATAGGTAAGAGCATTTAAAGAATTTCCTTAAAATAAATATGAAAGATGAAAGTTTAGAGAAACTGTGATAATAGCGAAAGCCTAGTCAAGAATATGATTTTATCCAGGTGTTACTGTAATGATTTATTTTCCCTAAATATCCTAAAACAGAGAGCATAACTAGGTTTAAGTGCTTATGTTATAAAGTTATAGCTTCTAGACAAACTAGATCCCCGAACAGCATCTGTATCCATATGACAATAATAAGTTACATGTGTTCAGTAGGTAAACACTCACGGAATTGTAAAACACTCCATTATTTTAACGTATTCCCATCAACAAAGGCAGTTATGGACATCCAAGACACAATCTGGTTTTGAAGTTTAAGAAAGCAGTAGATAAAAGCTTCGGTTAGCTTCCACATTAGTTATAGATATATCTTACCTAATGGTCAGTTTCACAGGCTCAGGGGACCCATTGACATTGACCAGGAACTCTTCTTCAAAGTGCCCCAGAATGGAAGAACTGAAGGAGATCTGGACCGCCTGGACTCCACTTGGTTCGATGATGCCTTCCTTGGGGCTGAAAACAAAGCAGGCCCCCAAAGCCGAAGTTGGAGGGCCCACGCTGAAGAGAGCATCAATGCTGCCTTTGTTGGAGAGTATTGCCTATATCAATAAAAAGCCAAGAATGCAAAGATACAGCATGGACATCATATTTATTTTCAGAGAAGCATGTGGCTGTACTGTTTAATACCAACACATAGACAGTTACAGGAAGTAAAGCCAGAGAAAAACTCCAGGGGAGAAATGAATAGTCTTCTGCCTTGAAGGTCTGAAGGTAGGAATCCTGATCCAGAAGTCATTTTGTGCTTTTAGTATCCTCTTTAAAACAGAGTTAGTCACGTGTATTATAGCCGTGTTATAAATACTGATTGTAATTATATCTACTGAAAAAGAACCTTAAAATACCTCTTTCTGATATTCTATAAGGTAACGGAGGGAAGGCAGGTATTTCTCTTCTATGCATGAGAAAGCTGAGAATGAGCGGCATACTGAAAAATAAGCAGTCAGAATAGAGGCGCAAGAGCTACCTAAGCCTACATCTATAGTGTAGCCTGGAGAATATGAACGCGACATCACTGTGGATTCCAGACGACAAGGATTCTCTTTATTGTGCTATTAGATTTCATTCTACTGGGATACCTTCATCTCAAACTCTACCGTTTGGGGATGCTTAATGTAAGCAAGTGTTTTACTATAGACAAGTTTTATTCCTATACACTAGTGCCATTGTCCATATTTGCTTGCACACTAGATGTGTGTGTATGAAAAGTTCATGCCTGGCATTCAGAGTCCTCCACACCTGACTCGGTCCATCGCTCCCACTCCCACCGCCCCTGGTGTCTGTGCAGTGAGCCTGTGATGTAGCCACACAGCTCTCTATTCCTTGCCAGTGCTGCACCTGAATTGGTGGACAGCACGTTCTCTCTCTCTATGTACTACCTTCAACCTACACTCCAAGTATTAGAGAAAAAAGAGCATAGGAGATCATGAAGAAATGTTCAGAAAGGCATGTGGGGAATGTCAGGAACCTAGAAGAAGGAGAATTTCCAGAAGGGGTTAACTGTGGACAGAGTTCATGGGGAATACACTCTGAGAAAATGTTACAGATTTTTTATTTTTCATTAGAGGCCAGCCCTGCCCTTGAAGAAGAAAGTAACTGCAATGGAGTGTGACGGTAGAATCCAGAGTCCAAACGTTTAGGGAGTGCGTGGGTGTGGAAGAAATAGTGGTTGACAATTCGAGATTCCGATTTTGAGAGGATTAGTGGTGAGGAGGGAGAGTGGGGGAGACAAAGCTGTGGGAAGTACGGTAGAGGAGACCCAGTATATTTATATTAAATGACATAATGCATACTCAGTGCTGGGCCCATATGTTTGTTGTAATAAGAGAATAGAGCTAGGTAACCAAGGGAATGGGGTCTGGGTGGGTGTGGTGTGTCCACCAGCTTAGGTTACCTCCTGAGAAGCAAAGAAGAGGGAATCAAGAGTATATATAGAATAGAGTCAGGGGCCTTTGCAAAGGAAAATCACCACTTCTTCCAAGAGAAGATGGATGATGGACCAAAAGAGATATATAACTAATTGTTGCTTGATATTTTATTCATCTTTTTACATTCATTTCCCATTCTCCCTCACTCTGTTTTAAGTTCCCTGGTCATAGAATTCATGCTTCACCCCTCATTCTTTCTAAAGAGACCATGTAGAAAGTGATTATGGCCAGGGACTCAGAAGCCAAATAGCCTGGGCTCAAATCCCAGCTTTACCACTGACTTCCTAGCTGTGTGACCTTAGAAAACGTGCTTGCCTCTCTGTCCCCCAGTGTCTCCATCTGTAAAGGGTAAGAACTACTAACTTCTCAGAGTGCTTGGAAGATGAAATTAATTTTTGTAACTCTTAGAATAGTGCTTATAAATGACAGTGATTGCTACCTGTATTCCCAGCGCTATGCAGAATGGGTTTAAAATTTACCTTGCTTAAGAAGCAACTGACACACCTTAGTGATAAATTAAAGGCAACTCAGAGGTGTTTGAGGTAATTCAAAGGGAATTCAAAGGGAATTCAATTCAAAGGCAATTGTTTTCCTCTCTGAGGAAATGCACAGATTGCCTTTTTATTTTTCGGGTAACAGCAATACTTTACTCAGATTTTGTAGAAGGCACAAGCTCCTCCATTTTCAAGAACATACATGTCATTCTTCTCCCCCTGACAAAAGAGCACCTTTGTGTGTCTGCAGAATCCAGCAAGTCATTTGGGACAAAACCCTGAGGCTTTTTGATTACCTTACCCTTGCAGTCCAATTCCTTGGCGAGGAGAAAATTTATAATAGAGCTTCACCTAGTTTTCCTTCTAATTACACTGGGGAATAGTGAACACTCTTGGGACTATGGTTTACTTTTTATGTATTTGCTAAGCTCAGCAATGACTAAGGGCAATAGCTAGTTATTCAAATTTGTCTCAAGTAGGTAACATAATAAATTGAAAGAGAGATGCAATGAGGCATCAGCACTAAATACGCAGAGAGTGCAAAATATTCCCATAAGAAGCAACTCACCATGCCCTTCTCTGCCATTGCACAGCCCTCAAAATTGTCCACTCTGATGCAGCCCCTCATATAACACTTACTTAGCTGGCTGCGAGGTACTTTACTATTTCAAATCTGGGATGGTGGGAAGGTGGTGGCCTCAAATATACTTCGGTTAAATTTGTTAGAAATTATTATTACACTCAGGGAAACCTTATCCATTTTGTATCAGAACTAAAGGTCCTTTTCTATTGTGGCATCCATAAGACACAATACTTAGGATGTAAGGGAAATTCACACTGGATAAATTATGGACACAATATCAATTTAATAAGTATCGCACATTTTTTCCTCCCGAAGTGACCCTTTTTTCAAAATGCAAAAGACAATGCAACATAGTAGCTGTGCCATTTTTCATTTCATGGCAGTCATGTGACTGGTTTTTTCATTTAACTTGTGTTCTTATGTATATTCCATCTCAGATGACACTAATGTCTCTATTTACCTTGCGCATCATCCCATTTAGGCCACGGTTACTCTAATGAATGTGGGGATGAACAATACAGTAGGAAGCTCTCAGTAGCAACCGGGCATTTGCCTCCCACGCCAAGGCTGGGCTGGGCTGAGATCTGAGTTGGCTGTAGGTTGGATTTGCTCCGTGGTGAAGGGCAGCACAAAACCTTCCCTTTCCAGGCTACAGAGCCCTAGTAACCCAGTGCTCACTAACATTTACCAGCTGTATGACCTTGCCAAGTTACTTAACAGATGTGGCAGGGTCAGGTTTGCTATTCACTGACCCCACTCCCTCTTCCTCCTGTGCTCACAACTAGACTGCATTTCCCAGCCAATCTTGCAGCTGTGGGATGTGAATGAGCGTGACGCGTGCCACCTATAGGACCAACTCCTATAAAAGATATTTCGTGCACGTCTCTCCATGCTCTTTCCCCTTCTGCCCGCATGACAAATGTGGGGTTGCGGCCTTGAGGGCTACACGTTAGGGGTGGCAGAGCTATGAGATGGAAGGAGCCGGGGTCCCGGTGCTCTGCTGACGGAGAGCCATCTGCTGATACGTAACCCTGAGACTTTACGTAAGCAACAAAATAGACTTCTATCATGTCTGAGATAGTACAGATCTTCATATCTGTTTGTTACAGTATCTACCATTATCTTAACTAGTAGAACTGTTCCAGGCTCCAGGTTCCCCGGCTGTAAAATGGGAAGAGTCACTGCAATGCTGCATAGGGTTTAGGGAGGACCAAACGAACTAATGAATATAAAAGCACTGGTACTGTGCTCAACATATTTGAAAGATGATGTTGTTGATGGTATTAACCACTCTCTGCCTCTTATTTTTCCTTTATAAAATAGTTTCTAAGGATTAGAAACTAAATACATACAGATAGACAAGCATACACAATAGAACATGGAACCTGACACCTATTTGTCACTCATTAAATAACTCCTTGTATTACTTTTATAGAAATACAAACATTTAAAGTTTAGGAATCATTGTAAAATAAAGTTTCAGTGGTCACAATTTGATATAGTGCAAAAAAATACCCTAGATACAAAGTTAGTGGTGAGGAGACACTGAAGTGACTTTGATCCTGAAGAACCCATGAGTATATCTTGTAAAAGGATCATTTTCTATTTAATTGGAAAGACAAAGCACAGAATTTCAAACAGAAAGTTCCAGAAAGCACAATGACTGGTTTTTAATCATGTATTAAAGACCAGTGCATTCAGAGAAAACTCTGAAGTGTGAAAATGCCTATCCTCATTAGGACATTCTGGAAAGTTTGAAAGTTTTTCTGTCCTCTGGTCTCTACAGCATTTATGTTGTCGGAGAACAAGCATTAATCAGATGGGGATAAGATTGCAATCCACAAGATGAGGAGGATAAATAAAACCAATTAAATTATGGCTTTGTTGCCTTCAGGAAAGCTAGAGGGGAAATCCTCAAGGAGGCTTGCTAGGAAAGGAAGGAAGAGCCAGATCATTCTGGAGTCTGAGCATGAGTAATGGCAAATGGATGTGACTGTACATGTTTTGTATCGATAAACACACACACAAAATAAAATAAACAGAAAAAGCCAGGTACTATCTGAGTCTCAATGAACAATTCTAGTGCTTACCTCATAACAATGTACAGATCCAACGAAAACTTTTCCAATGTCCAGCAGTTCAAGATTGAAGTGAATCTTTGGCCCCATTCCTTCACCTTTGATTCGGAGGGGCAGACGGATCTCTCGGCCTATAAAAACAAGTCAGACTTTATTACCCTGAAGGATGCTTCATTACCCCCCAACTACACATGACGTGGTGCCAATGTAAGCAATCAAGAGTTCTGTATCAAATCCCTGTGCTGGACCCAGGGAACTGCAATTTAACCAATGCTGAAGATTTTGCTTATCGTTAGGAAACACGAATACTGGTAGTTTCTTATCTTTAGAGAGCAGCTTACATTGTAATTTAGGCGGATATTTTAGCAGAAAAAAATTTTTAAATTTTAACCCAGTCTTAATGGTATTCTTGTTCCTTATTTTTAAAACAACGTAATTTTTCTAAATCAGAGAAGAGTGACCACTGATAGATGCTTCTTATAAAACGAGAGTCACCATGGGCCTCCACAGGACATCGTTCTCAATGATTTTCCCTACAGTTAGGAAGATAATGGTATTAAAGGATCTGTGTCTAGGAGTCTTACCATAGAGTTTCTTTCAGTAGGGGTAATGGGATCCACTCACAATATCCACGACTGCACACCCACAGTGGACCCAGGGCGGGTGAACAGAGAGCACAACCTTTATGATATTGACTGGCTTTGTTTCCTTTTTTAAAATGGATATACCTTTGTCTGATAATACATGATCATTATAAAAATATTATAAAGAAAGTAGAAATTCTCACATAAATCTACTACCCAAAGATAACTACTATTAGCATTTTGGTGCCTACCCTTCCATACTCAATCATGTTTAAATACTAAAGTGCTACCTGGTCATATTTAAATAGTAAATACTATATTAAGTTTAATGGAAATGAAAGCATATGCTGTTATTACTTTGTAACTGCTTTTTTCACTTAGCAATACATCTACAACATTTTTTAATAATTTTTTTTAAATGTTTATTTATTTTTGAGAGAGAGACAGACAGAGTGTGAGAGGAGCAGGGGCAGAGAGAGAGAGGGAGACACCGAATCCAAAGCAGGCTCCAGACTCCGAGCTTGTCAGCACAGAGCCTGATGCGGGGCTTGAACTCACATACCACAAGATCATGACCTGAGCTGACGTTGGAACCTTAACCAAATGAGCCACTCAGGTGCCCCAATATCTGCAACATCTTTACATACCATCACTTGAAGATGAGTTAAATATTTTTAACCAGTCCCTCTTGTTGGATATTTAAATGGTTTCCAGGTTTTCATTGAACAAATTACAATGTAATTAATATCTTTGAACACATTATGAATAATTTCTTTAGGCACTTCAAAGATTTTCTATTGTTTCTTGTCTCCTACAGCTCCTGTTGAAAAGTCAGCTTACTGTCTTACTGCTCATTTGAGGTAAATGTCTTTTCCTCTGACTGCATTAAGATTTTCTTTTTGGGGATACCTGAGTGGCTTACTTGGTTAAGCATCTGACTTTAGCCTAGGTAATGATCTCACGGTTCATGGGTTCGAGCCCTGCGTCGGGCTCTGTGCTGACAGCTCAGACCCTGGAGCCTGCTCAGATTCTGTGTCTCCCTCTCTCTCTGCCCCTCTCCTGCTGGAGCTCTGTCTCTGCCTTAAAAATAAATAAAAAACATTTTTAAGGGGTGCCTGGGTGGCTCAGTCGGTTGGGCGTCCGACTTCAGCTCAGGTCACGATCTCGCGGTCCGTGAGTTCGAGCACCGCGTCGGGCTGTGGGCTGACGGCTCAGAGCCTGGAGCCTGCTTCCGATTCTGTGTCTCCCTCTCTCTCTGCCCCTCCCCGTTCATGCTCTGTCTCTCTCTGTCTCAAAAATAAATAAACGTTAAAAAAAATTAAAAAAAAAACATTTTTAAAAATTTTTTAAAAGATTCTCTTTTTGTTTTTGGTTTCTACCAGTTATACCATGATGTTCCCAGGTGACATTTTCATGTATTATTCCTAAGGTTTATAGCAATTTGTGAATCTCTGGATGAGTGCCATGCATCAGTTTTTAAATTTTCAGTCATTATGTCTTCAAATATTGCCTATGCTCCATTTTCTCATTTCTTTCCATCCACATAGATAAATCTTTACCACATTCTATTTGACTCTGATGCTCTTTTCTATATTTATCTCTATATGCCTCAGTATGGATATTTTCTTTAGATTTATTTTTCAGTTTATAAAATCTATCTCTGGCTGCATGTAACAGGCTATTCAATTCCACTGAGTTCTTAATTTGTTAATGTAACTTTTCAGTTCCAGACTTCCCATTAGATTTTTTATAGTTTCCAGGCCTCTGCTCAATCTTTTGAGAATATTAAAAAAAATGTTTAACATTAAAAAAATCTATCAAATACTTATGTTTTCTGGCTCTCTATGAAGTTTATATTGTTTTATCTTGGTGTTCTATCAGACTGTGTTGTCTCCTTATATGTTTGATTATTTTTGACTGAGTGCTGGTCAGTGTACATAAAACCTGAAGTGGTCATCTGAAGCCCTGAGAAGATAGTAAGTTGCTCTTGCTTCTGGCTGGTGACTAAGGAGTATTAGCATTACCCAATCTTACCACTCTCCACTAAGATTCTTTGAGAGAATTAAGCTCTGTGCCAAGTCATATGAGTGACTATATTCTCAATTCTCCCAAGAAGGGCATATAGCTAGTACTATGCTAGTTATAAAAGAGAAGTTGATTCCTCATATTTAATTGATGCCTTAGAACATTAGAGATTACTTCCTAGAACCTCAGTGAAGAACTGTTGTAATCAAATTGATAATTGAAAAAGCAGTCAAAGCTGAGCTTCAACCTTTGGGAGGGCTGATCCATTTCCAGTCCCCACTTCACTGGGTCCCATTATAAAGTCTGGGGAGTTATGAGGGCCCTTTCTCCTTGGGCATCCCATGAACTCCCATGTTTCTTCCCTAACTGTACTTAACTTTTCAGCTTGTCTGTAGTATCTACCAAAAAGGTGGTGTCTCTAAGAATAAAGTGGTGTCCAAAGTCTGACTGTCTTGGCTTTCCTCTTCTCTTGGATCTTGGCCCTGTAATTCTCTACTGTCTTGGTAGCTCTCTTTTGACTATAAAAAGTCCTTGAAAATATTTTGCCTTGCTCTTCTAGTTGTGTTTTGGAGAGAGACAGAGAGACAGAGACAGAGAATCCAAATTGCCTAGCCCACTGTTATTGGAAATAGAATTGCCAGAACGAAGGATGCACATTTGACATTTTGATAGCTATGGGCATGTTGCCCTCCAGAACGGTTGTAGGAATTTGCACACAAACAACAGTCTTTAAAGGTCTGTCTCTCCATACCCTCCCTGATAGTGGGGATATCACACTTTTGAAAATCCTTGATAATTTGATAGGTTTTCCTTAAATGTATACCATTTACATTTCAAACTCTTTAAGCAAAAATAAAAGATTTGCTCTGTAACATTTTGAACGTTGAAAAATACTTTTGATGCTCTGTTAGATATAATCTTTAGTATTATAGCGACTGTGCTTTGAACAGTCAAGCCATATTTATAATTTATTATTATTATCATTATAATGCCTTATGGAAATTTATGTTCCAGCCTTTTGTTGCTACTTAGCTTCTGTATCTTTAAGGCTTTCTCTCCATGACTGTCCCTTTAAAGACAGGGGTATTTGTCTCTATGTCCCCTCTAGTGCTTGGCAACACAGTTGTCATTAGGTATGTATTACTTTGATCATAAGAAACAAGAGCAATCAGCAATATTTGGGACAAGTGATCCATTCAAAGGGTTCCCCCAATCCATCTGATCCCTGGAAAAGAGATCACTCTGAAGATCAGGTGTTTGTGTTAACAATACTGTAGAATATAAGTAAAACTTTCAGAGAACCTCATCAACTCACTCCATTATTTTAGAGTTCTAATCTACTGGCAATGATTTTTACTGCTTGGTCAAGAGAAAAGTATTTTGACAGAGATCCAACTTTCAGAATGGCAAAGAAGGAGAATTGCAAATATATTGTGGAATAAACAGCAAGACTATTTATAACTGTCAGGCTTAAAGCTTTCCCCATCTGTTACCTTGACTGCCTTCCTTAATAATAATTTTTTTTTTAAAAAGGAGATGTGTTGTAATAAAACAGTGAGCTAATGTTTCTTTGGGAATTATTAATTACTTCAACGGAGATTGTTTTATGTGTAGCTAGCCATTTCCTTCACCTAGGATAGGAGTACAAGTGATAGCCAGCAGTACTTTTGCCAGAGTTAGTCTACATTTTAAGGTCACATTACAAATGCTACTTTTCTGCAAGATTTATGAAGCAGGGATTTTTCTGGTCTTGGCAAAAGACAGCAAGAGGGACAAATGTGAAGGAACTAGTAAGCTCTAGGACAGATTCCTTGCTAGAAGACTGAAGTATTAAAATGTTTATTTTATTTTATTTTATTTTTAAATTTTTGTTAATGTTTTATTTATTTTTGAGGCAGAGAGAGACAGAGTATGAGCAGGGGAGGGACAGAAAGAGAGGAAGACACAGAATCTGAAGCAGACTTCAGGCTCCGAGCTGTCAGCACAGAGCCTGATGCGGGGCTCGAACTCACGAACCGCGAGATCATGACCTGAGCCGAAGTCGGATGCTTAACCAACTGAGCCACCCAGGCGCCCCTAAAATGGTTTTTTTAATGTTCATTTACTTTTGAGAGAGAGAGAGTGCAAGCAGGGGAGGGGCAGTGAGAGAAGGGGAGACAGACTCCAAAGCAGACTCTGAGCTGTCAGCACAAAGCCTGATTCAGGGCTCAAACCCATGAACTGTGAGATCATGACCTGAGCCAAAATCAGACGCTTAACCTACTGAGCAACTCAGTTGCCCCCCAATTTTTTTTTAAACGGGGCAATTTCCAGATGACACAATACTCTATATGGAAAACCCAAAAGATTCCACCAAAAAACTGCTAGAACTGATTCATGAATTCAGGAAAGTCACAGGATATAAAATCAATGCACAGAAATCAGTTGCATTCCTATACACCAACAATGAAGCAACAGAAAGAGAAATCAAGGAATGGATCCCATTTACAATTGCACCAAACACCATAAAATACCTAGGAATA